TTGGATTGCATATCCTATCGAAATACGGGATCTGCCCCTGTCTGGCATGGCAGGAGACATTAGCAATGGCAGCTAGGAGAAACCATCACTGCCATCTCATCACCATGGGGACTACAAGCTTGAGCAGTATAGCTCATGTTTTTTTATGTGCCATCGTGTCGTCTCTGACCTATGGTGACCGCATGAATGAGTGATCTCCAAAATGCGCTGTCCTCAACAGTTCTGCTCAGTTCTTGCAAACTCAAGCCAGTGGGGTCCTTTAGGGAGCCAGTCCATCTCATGTATGGGCTTCCTCCTTTCCTGCTGCCTTCAACTTCTCCTAGCATTATTGTCTTCTCTAGAAGTCTTCTCTTGCTGTGCCCAAAGTAGGACAGCCTCAGTTTCATCATTTTTGCTTCCAGAGGAAGTTCAGTCTTGACTTAATCTTGGACACACTTGTTCATCTTTCAGGCAGTTCTCTGGCACAGTCAAACCTCTCCACCTTCTTAAGCAGAGGAGTAAAGATGATAGTAATTTGTTTATACAGTCACTTTACTGCATATAGGCAGGAGAAGATGATCTGGCTGAAGCAGAAGGCTATGTCACAAGTCTTAGCCATTTGAAAGCTAACACCCGCTGGGAAACTAAGTTTAGGGCTATCCAGCAGCCGAGGTCTTTCATCAGGAATTGCATATTAATGACTCATTTGTTTTGGAGGTAGATAGAGGTTGTTAACTGTGCTAGGATCTGCAGGGAAACGGGTGGGTCTTGAGGGAATGCAGTTGGAAACTCAACTCATCCATCACTTTTAAAAGTTTTTTCTCTCTTATGTGTAGGAATAAATTGAAGGAAGTGGGTTGGTTTTCTCCCCCTCGCTTATTCCTGTAAATAGACCGAGCCCGTGAAGCCATTAGGGAAGCGAGCAAGCAAATGTTTCCTTGTGTTTTGGGCTGTTAATTACCTATTTACATGAAAATAATTATGCTCCCCTTTGTACATTGGGAGTATTGGGGAATTCATTAACTTATGTCTGCTGGCAGCACGGAAGGAAAGTTTCTTACCTGTGTGAGGAGGTTTGTGAGTGGAACACTCAAGCTGGCCTTTGGACGTAGTGATTTCTTCACTAGGGAGGGAGGGAGGGAGGGAGGGAGGAAGGAAGGAAGGAAGGAAGGAAGGAAGGAAGGAAGGAACTGATGATGGATGGAAGGAGATGATGAAGGAAGGAAGTTCAGCCAGTTTGTAGTGTAGAATATTGGGCTCAGTCAAGACTCAGAACAAACTGCTGGATAGCTCAGTGATTTAAGTACCTAGTCGCGGAGCCAGAAGTTGGGAGTTCAATTCTCCACTGTCTATATTTGAATTTTTGTCTGAACTTTACAGTAGCCATTCAAAATACTGAACATATTTTATGTTCAGCACCATGGGCAGTACCTGTAATGTTTGGACTGAAGAGGAGCAGCTTCCTGGAGTGGATTCACTGCCCTCATGAAATCGGCTTTGTTAGCCAAAACAGGGCAAGGAGAAGCATGTTCGTCTGAATCCCGAAATCACTTTTCTGTGCTTTATGTGCTCGGACAGGTCCTAGGCTAATGAATTTCAATTGATTGTGACAGCACTGAAGTATTAGCTTCCCATTGTATTCTGCCAAGATGCTCATAAGAGTTGCCCAGCCCTAACAGATGTCAATCAACTCTAATGATGCTAATGGTACCCATTCTAATGAAACCTCCAAACACCAGCTCCTCTTGAAGTTTTTGATGCCATTTGTTTGTTTTTCATGTGGAAGGGAAACATTTTGGGGGAGAAAAAATTCTGAAAATCCAGCAACCTATTAGCACAACAAACCATGCTTTTGATCCCCTTCCTCCCAATGTAATTAATCAAAATAAATCCATCCATTTGCAAGTTCCTCTAACGCAACTATTAGCCAAGAGGCAGAGGAATTGAAACATCTTAATTACAGATACGATAAAAGACAAGTCAACTCTCTCTCTTTCCCTCCTCCCTCCATCTCTCTTGGGAAAAGCACATCCTTGTAGTAGGAAAAGCATCGCCTACAAGTTAGCTCATAACTTTTCCAATTTACTTTCCCTGGTGAAAAACCAACCCAATGACGTTATAGATGTTGCATCATTCCCATGGGTTGATAGCGTAGGAAAAGCATCGCCTACAAGTTAGCTCATAACTTTTCCAGTTTTACTTTCCCTAGTGAAAAACCAACCCAATGACGTTATAAATGTTGCATCATTCCCATGGGTTGATAGCAATACCTGTAATGCTGGACTTCTGCCTACTGAATTTACTTGAGGTTTTCACATGGGTTGTGAAAATCAGTAGAAATCATTCTATCCTAACCATCAACATCAAAATCTAGAATACCGAAACATGGATCTTGTACACACATACAGAAATGCCAGAGCAATGGCTCCCAACTAGAGATGGGGGTATTCATATACGAATATGAATATCCCCACACAGGTGGTGTTAATGAGGGTCCAGCCCCATGGGGCCTGATGGTCCTCTCACCCATCAGCCACAGATATAGACAGTCTGATTCTACCAATGGCTTTGATGGGGGTATTCATATACGAATATGAATAGCCCCACATGGGGCCAGATGGTCCATTCACCCATCAGCCACAGATATGGACAGTCCGATTCTACCAATAGCTTTGCAGCATGCAATCTGCTCGCCACTCTTCGACCTTGCAATGGGGATTGTCCTCCTGCCTCCTGCCAGGAGTGGCGAGCAGATCATACGCTGCGGAGCCATTGGTAGACTCACGCTGTCCATGTCAGATCAGCAATCTGCTCGCCACTCTTCGACCTTGCACCACTTGTGCGGCGATATTCATATTTGTATATGAATATCACCTGTCTCTGAGCAGATCATACGCTGCGGAGCCATTGGTAGACTCACGCTGTCCATGTCAGATCAGTGAGTGGACCTTCATTAACACCACCTGTGCGGCGATATTCGTATTTGTATACGAATACCCCTGTCTCTATTCCCAACCTTGGGTCCCCAAATGTTCTTGGACTACAGCTCCCAGAAGCCTTCGCCACGAGCTGTGCTGGCCCAATTTTCTGGGAGTTTTAGCCCAAGAACATCTGGAGACCTAAGGTTGGGAACCACTGCTCTAGAACAATGGTCCCCAACCTTAGATCACCAGATGCTCCTGAACTCAAATTCCCACAATCCTTCACAGTGAATTGGGCTGGCCAGGATTTCTGGGAGCAGTAGACCAAAAACATCTGGGGAACCCAAGGTTTGGGAACCATTGTGCTAGAAGAAAAGGGCACAAGAGTTTTGTTGAAACTTCAGAATCTAAAATGGCTTTCCATTTAAAATGTTCTAGCCTTCACTCAATGAGGGGGCCACATACTTCAATAGAGACACGATTTCCCCAAATAACCTATTCTTCTTCCTTTTGTTTCCCAGTAGGGGGGGATGAAAGCAAACCATCTTAAGATCTGGGGTCACAGATGTGGGTGGGGTGGGAGGGGGAGAAGCATGACTTTCAAACAATTGGTAAAGAAGCAACGGAAACCATCAGACATCCTTTGATTCCTCTTAAAGTCCACGACCACAAGCACACAGGAAAAAAATGAGAGCGCACCTCGCTTTGACCTCCGTAGGTGCTTTCACTGAACGTTCTCCTCATTTTTCATCAGTTGAAAGATACTTCCAGAAAACTTTGAAGTTCAGGGAGAAAACGAACCAGTACGTTGGGCGGGTGGGAGAAACACAGCAGAACTAAGTTCTCTGCTCTTCATTTAGATCAGAGCTACGTTGAAAGATGCTAAGACTAGTATTTCTGGTTTCTAAGGAAGATCACTGCAAGCATTTGTTACTGAGGCCTCTCTTCCACCGTGTCCTCTTTTTGAGACACCCCTTTCTCGCTTGTACTTGAATCAGTTTGCCCATGATAAGAAGTGCCTTAATCCTAAGAGCTTTACAACGATCCAAGCTGTAACAGACCACCTAACACAATACACATAGTAGGTTAATAACAACAATAATAATAATCTTAGACCTGCAGAGCTGGAAGGCATCATTGAGTCTAGCCCCTACCAAGGACCATTGAGTCTAGCCTCTACCAAGGAGTACAGTCAGGAAGTGAACTCCCAAACTCTGGCTCCACATCCAGATGCTTAAACCACTGAGCTATCCAGCAGTCACCAAAGAAAATTCCTTAAGGCTGAAAACATCCTACAGTCAAAACAGGAGCTTTGCACACCTCCCATAGCTTGCAAATTGATTTCCTTTGCCTTGCCATTGGTTGGCAAGAGGTAAGCATGGGCTTCATTTTCATTCACGTATGGCTGCTGAATCACAAAGTTCTCCAAGTATTGTATCACTGGGACACTGGGATTTCACCATCTGGAAAACCCCTCTCTATATATACTGTCTATCATGTGTTGCTTGTCCTCTTCCATAACTTTGGATTTTAATTGAGGTAGATGTTGGGAAAGTGTGAGGGCAAGAGGAGAAGGGGTTGACAGAGGATGAGATGGATGGACAGGGTCATCGAAGAGACCAACATGAATCTGAGCCAACTCCGGGAGGCAGTGGAAGATAGGAGGGCCTGGCGTGCTCTGGTCCATGGGGTCACGAAAAGTCAGACATGACTTAATGACTCAACAACAACAACAAACCATGTTGTTTCTATTTCTTTTTAACCTGGTTTTAACAATGCTTGTTTGAAGTCTGTTGTCTTTAGGCATTGTAATTGCCATTTCTCGGCAAAATGGAAGACTAGAAATTTAAGATATATTAAATCCTTGAAAACAAATCCACCCCCGGGAGAGATATTAGAGCCAAAATCTCATTGGGGGCTCGAACCTATATCCTGTGACATCCAATTCCCCCAATCTAACCACTGTACAATGCTGCCTTTGTTCTATAGAAATTGTCTAAAGCACTTTCCGCTACAGAACTGCTCATCCTCTCAACTGGACTATTCTCAGATGGTTCGATCCTGTTCCTCACTCCCCTTTTGCTTTCCATTGGCCTGCAGGACACCGAGATTCTCAACACGGCGATCCTAACGGGGAAGACCGTCGCCATTCCCGTCAAGGTGGTGTCCATCGAGGAGAACAGCGCCGTGACGGACATCTCTGAGTCCGTGGAGTGCAAGTCTTCGGCTGAAGATGTCGTCAAGGTAAGCAAGGATGAGGACCACTGGATCGGCGTGGTTCTCTCTGTGACTCATCCAAGCCGGGACCAGCTCACTCTTTGTTAAAACAAACTCATCCATATAACATCGCTCTTAGAAAATTGTATCACTAATGACGCGAATCAACGGTACTTGAAGGATCAATACCCAACCGTCAACCAGGTTGGCCAACTGAGAGAAGGGACTGAGTTGGGCAGTAAGCGAAGCGGGATGGGAGAGGTAGACCGTCCTAGCAAAGCGAGATGCATAAAGTATGTATTTGATCAATAGGTGGGCAACAGTTTTCCCCGGTGATATAAGTTATGCAGTTCAGCATGTAACTGATGTTCCTCCTCTTTCTGCCTGCTCTCCCCCCCCTCCCATCCACGTTCTTTTTTGACAGCCCCATTGCTCCTTTGCGCCTGGATTTACACTCGTCTTCATGAGCTATAAAAAGTGCTAGGCTTCCGAATGATGGTTCTAACCTTTTAAAAGTGGACCAAAATATATTTACCGTGGCACTAAAACATGACTAACGTCCAAATCTCGCTGGCTAAGCTCGGTTTCACCAAGAGGAGTGCTTGACCCCCCTCCCCATCTATGAATAATGGGTTGACTTGTTCCTGGCTTTAGAAGTCTCTCTACTTCCTAGAAATCGACAAAGGACATGCCAGGTTTCAATAAGAATCATGTGCTGTCAAGTCGATTCCGACTTAGGGTGACCGTTTTCAGGGGTTTCCAGGTAGAGGCTACCTACGTAGACGAATACCCCCATCACTATTCATTATACACTAAGATTTTTTTAAAAAAAATTAAAAATATAAAAATAATTGTAAAGTTTAAAATATGTAAGTTGAGGCTACCTACGTAGACGAATACCCCCATCTCTATTCATTATACAATAAGATTTTTTTTAAAAAATTAAAAATATAAAAATAATTTTAGAGTTTAAAATATGTAAGTTACAAACCAACATTCCTGAGATAACTTACTGCTTAAAAGATTGACTGAAGAGGAAGGTCTTTGGTTGATGATGGAAGGGCAAGAGAGAAGGGACCAACCTATGTTTTTGGGGGGGCAGTGTTGTTCCTAAGCTTGGGGGGCAGCCACTGAGAAGGCCCTCTCCCACGCCCTCACCCAACGAGCTTGGGAAGGTGGTGGAACCAAGAGAAGGGCCTCCCCAGAAGATCTTGAAAGCCAAGAAGGTTCATGTGGGGCGATGTTGTTGCTTAGTCATTTAGTTGTGTCTGACTCTCCGTGACCCCACGGACCAGAGCACACCAGGCCCTCCTGTCTTCCACTGCCTCCCGGAGTTGAGTCAAATTCATGTTGGTCACTTCAATGACCCTGTCCAACCATCTCGTCCTCTGTCGTCCCCCTTCTCCTCTTGCCTTCACACTTTCCCAACATCAGAGTCCTTTCCAGGGAGTCTTTTCATGAGATGGCCAAAGTATTCGAGCCTCAACTTCAGGATCTGTCCTTGCAGTGAGCACTCAGGGTTGATTTCCTTCAAAATGGATAGGTTTATTCTCTTTGCAGTCCAGGGGACTCTCAAGAGCCTCCTCCAGCACCATAATTCACATGTGGGGCGATACGATCCTTCAAATAGCTTAGTCACCACCTGCCTGAGTCCCATGGACTTCAACAAATCTAACAATAGCTTTCATTATTTTCTTTTTCAAGACATCCCTGTAATTCTTGGCTTAGCCTTCACAATTTTTAGCCAATTGTTTTGGCTTCGGATTTTACTGGGCAGAAGCCTGCTGATCTGTGCTCGTGTACCTTGCTGGCTTATTATGGCTCGTTGATGAAGGTCCGGGGCATGTCTTGCTCATACGCTCAACTGTGAAAGCCACGTGCATTCCTGCACCTCATCCATTAGCTCCAATGAGTTGCAGTAGGTTCCAAAAACCTTACACATACAAAAATAAAACACAGTTGGGTTCTGTCCCCTAGCGGTTGCTGCTCTATCTTAGCCTAAAAGCTGTAGGCAGCAGGAGAAGAGGAGAATGAACTACAAGATGGACAGACTCCTTAAACTTTAAGGAAGCCACAGGCTTGAATCTGCAAGGGCTAAGCAGCGCTGCTGAGGATGGGGCATTTTAGAAATCGAGAGTTGCCATAAGTCAGAGAGGACTTAGGCGGCATGTAGCAACAAAAAACTCTCAGTCGTACGACAATTGCTGCACTTTAAAAATAAATGCATGAAATCAGCCGCTCAATCAATCCCAGGCCAGCGCTGAGAAACTTTTAAAAAGAAATTCCCTCTCAGGACCCAGAACAAATTGCCCAAGCCTGAAATAAACATTTTTCTCTCCATAGCTAAATGAGCTCTATTTATTTGTCTGTCTGTTCAAATTAAAGTGGAGCAAGCATCCTCTCCCTTCTAACTCAGAAGCAGAAAAAGAAAGCTGACAGAGAAGAATGTCTCTAAGCAGATCAGCAAATAATTGTTGTACTATAAGGTTGAGAGATGTGATCCCTTCGTTTAGCGTGAGCCAGCTTTTTAACGAGGCTGCATCTCAAGGCCCAACCAGGAAGAAAGAAAGGGGGTGGGTGGGGGAATCTTGAAGGGCTATAATTTGTAAAAGACGTGTTCAGCTGTTTCTTGAGTGCTGCCAACCTGGAACGGTGAATCACTTCCAAGTGCTTAATAGCGCTAGATCGTTGGGCGCCGGCGAGATGCAAATTCTTTCATGGTTTCAGGTTGCTGGTTGCGTCAGCATCCTTTCGCAGATGAATCAGCCAAAGCTGGCTGAGGAGTGAGGAAGGGCCAATTTGATTACATGTGGCGTTATGACACCTATTTATTCCTAATAAAGAGCCGGAAAGAGACTGATTTATGGTGGTGGGGAACTGTAGGACCAAATTCACATGATCATTTCAAACACTGATAGAAGCCTAAATCTCCATTTTCAAAAATCCTGTTTCTCACTTCTGTGTCTGCTCTGTGCTTCGTTCTTCTTTCTTTTCTTCTTCCATCATCTTTGTCTTCTTCAACTTTTTTTTGGTTTTACTCTCTTCCCATGATCACCTTCATTGAATCTGTCTTCTTCATTTTTGTCTTCTTTGCCTTCTTATATATATTTTTGTCTTCAAATTCTTTGTCTTCTGTCTTTATTTTATATTGCTCCCCGTTAATTCAATGCATCATTCTGCATGGTTTATCGCATTCTTTGGATCCAACCATAACTTGCATGGAGGGTATTTCTAGTTATTTGTTTTCTTTTGTTTTTTTGCATTTTTATACACATTTCCAAGGTGCATTATCAAAATTGGCCACTAGGGGGCCCAAGGATGGGAATCACTTCATTAGAAGAATGTCCTTTTAGCAGCTAAAGATGGCACCCTTTTTAGACAGGATTCTACCAAAACAAAATGGAACCGGGGGCTGCCGTTTGTGTTTCCCTGTGGACTTCCCCAGTTGTTTGGTCATCGTTGGTCCTCAGCGACAGAGAAGCTTCTCCCACATTCCAAGCCACTTTAGACATGATTAACTCATCGCACGATTGCCCTCTGATGATGTTTATGATACCTTTAGGAATCGCTATGACAACGACTTTATCACTCCGAGCCACTTCATCCTAGCCACATCTTTCTTAATGATTTATATCTTCGGGAGAAGATCTCTCTGTCTTTTTTTTTTTCAAACTCCCACTTGTACTCAGTACGGTAATAAATGAGAAAACTCAATGGTCTGTAAATTACAACATTGATTACAAGAGTGATTACTGATATAACTCTTAAATTGACTATGCTAATATGTGCTTGTATTTCAGGACAGTATTTACATGCTAATGATAAACCCACCGTAGCGTTGGGGGAGGGGATGAAAAGGGGCAGGGGAGGGGAAACAGCTTGATTGCTTTAAATGAATTGTAAAGTCATATAAACAGATAATGGTTTGTTGTGCTAGGAATTATTTTTCACGTGGTTGTCTAGTCTCCAAAGGATGAGGAGAACTGGTGTCGCTTCTCTTGCTAAAGGATGGGAGGAATGAATCAGGAGGTTGCCCCATCTGATTCTCACCTCTTTCCACCTCAATTCCTCCACCATCCCGCACAATGGGGAAATGATGGTGCTGGCTGACCTGGCAGGGTCATTGTCCGTTGGAAGCTGGGGTCTCGGTTTCTCATGAACAATAAAGCCACTCTGGGAGAAAGTCTGAACTTTCAAAAACCCCAGACTTTACAGGAACTGACCAAGGTGCTGAACCTGTTGGGAGGGATTGGATTTGGTACCTCGGATAGCTCTTGTAAAGTTCAGGGTAAGAATTGGAGTGGATCCTCTGCTTCCCAATTTTGGGATAACCAGCTTCCCCTGGTTGATGTACGGAATACAGCTTATGGAACACATGGTATACTTGGAACTACCATTTTTACTACCCATGGAGGGTGCCACCACAGAGAAGACCCTATTTTGTGTTGCATTTGGTCTACTGTCTAGTACAGAGCAGAAAGCCAGGACTCTCCTCTTGATCTGCAGTGATCTGTTTGTTGTTGGGGGTGGTGGTCATGTGAATGAGATATCACTTGATACCATAACCATTCCACAACAAACACACGTCAGCGTTGCCCTCAGATGCCTCCCCTTTGTTTCATTTCTCTCCTAGGTTTCAGACAGGTGTGACTACGTTTTTGTCAATGGCAAGGAAATGAAAGGAAAAGTGAATGCGCTAGTAAACTTCACCTATCAGTATCTGAGTGCACCTCTGCAGGTTACGGTGTGGGTGCCCCGGCTACCTCTTCAAATCGATGTTTCGGACACGGAGCTCAGCCAGATAAAGGGCTGGCGAGTTCCCATTGTTGGCAACAAGAGGTGGGTTCCTTTGCTTCTGATGTTCTCAAAGTCCAGGCCGTTTTTTATAGAGGGGGTGTCAGAGCATATGTCAAGGCTGTTTGAGGGCTCTAATATCCCCATTTAAAAATTCAGGAGGAAAATCATTTCCTATTTCTGGAAACCTCCAGAGATGGCCAATTTGCACTGAACTCTTAGCCACAGATTCTTAGCTACTGGACTCAAGACCATTTTTGAAAGTTTGCTCTTTATTGAGGTTTTTGAAATTGTGGGGCTGGTGCAGTCCATGGGGGGGGGGGTCCAGGAGAGAAAAATTGGCTCCTGGACCCTGCAGAGTTGCTTGTAACCAACCCGCTTCTGCTTCCTAAGTATCTTGAAGAAGACTCCTGCTTCTTGATGGTCAAGCAAGCTGGGAGGGAGGAGGTGGCTGAAGTTCTGTCTCACCTAGCTAACATCTCCTGAACTTCCATCTTGTACCTCCAAGGAAGGCTCCCTTTGTGAATGGTCAATGGGACATCTGCATGGAATCAGACTTTGGAACTTGCCTACTGAAGACCCATGTTGTTGAGATGGAATTTCATGACCAAAAAATAATAATAATCCTCTTTTCAGACCCACCCGGGACAGTGACGACGAGGATGACGAGGAGCGGAAAGGAAGAGGTTGCACCCTCCAGTACCAACACGCCATGGTGCGCGTTCTCACCCAGTTCGTGGCTGAGGATGCCACCCCGTGGGGCCAGCTCACCTACCTGCTGGGCTCCGAGTGGCAGTTTGACATCACAGACTTGGTGGCGGACTTTATGAAGTTGGAGGAACCCCACGTGGCCCAGTTGCAGAGAGGCAAAATTCTGGTTGGGCGAGAAGTTGGCATGACCATGATCCAGGTCAGTCCACCATGTTAGGCCACCTTCCTCAGCTTCCATAGTTGCCCCTAAGGACGAGAATGTCCCACACCCTCTAATTCCATGCTTTCCCTGTTCAAGAAGCTGAATTGCAACATTCCCTTGGTGAATGGTGTCATTCATAGAGTGTTGGGCTAAACCTCAAGAGATCTTGGTTTAAATCCTCCCTTGGTCACGGAAACTCATTGGGAGTTGGCAATGATCAACCAATCCTTGAAAATTTCATGAAGCTGCCACCCAGCCGGCTACTCTTGATATTTAGGTGACACCTGGTTGACCTTGACATACCGGGTAAGACCATCCCCAACATCATAAGAGTTTGAGAAAGGGAGAATCTGCCCCTCTTGTAATCCCTCCTGCCCCTCTTGTAATCCCTCCTTCAATGAGTCTTTTGATGGCTTCTCTCCAAGGTCCTGTCTCCATTGTCAGACTCCATCCTGGCAGAGAAGACTGTGACGGTGTTGGACGACAAGGTGACCATCACAGACATGGGGGTGCAGCTGGTTGCGGGACTGTCGCTTTTTCTACAACCCAGTCCAGCGAGTCACCAAGCTGTTGTGGTTACCACCGTCGCCCAAGAGTTACTCCACACCCCCAAACAGGTACAGTATAAGGAATCTTGTGGGAATCATCCCTTTCTGGTCCATTGTCCTGATTGGCGTTCCGTGACACATGAGATAACACAGTTGTGCAGAAATCTAGTTACAGGAATCAGCTTCCAAGACTCATCTCAACTGAGTCCAGTACCAAGCCAGCAGAGAAGATGGGTGGTCTGAATTCTTGTACAATCATCCCTTTCTGGTCCATTGTCCTGACTGGAGTTCCATGACTCATGAGATAACACAGTTGTGCAAAAAGGAATCACTGTCCAAGACTCAACTCAACTGAGTCCAGTACCAAACCAGCAGAGAAGATGGGTGGTCTCTGGTCCCTTCTCTTCCAACAGAGAGAGGAGAGGGGGATGTTATCACTGGTGGATGTGAGCATAGTTCAAGGCACGTGAAACCACAATCCAGTATCCAGTTCTTAAGCAACATGGACAGTTGTGCAGAAGTAAGTTTAGATGCTCGATTGCTCATGATGCCCAACCAGCCCATAAAGAGAATACAGGCAACTGGATTGATCCCCATGAACAAACGAGGAGCCATTCTTTTGTAAAGATCAGGCGAGAAAAGCAGGATAAAAATATTTTTTTAAAAAAAAACACACACATTGTCCCTGAAACTGATTGTGGAGTGTAGACCCGGTGAGCCCTGGCTCCACTACACCCCTGGGGTGGGGGTGTTCCTTGTATTGAAGTAAATGCTTTTTGGAAAAGGAGTTCAAGTTGCCAAAGCCCCCTTTCCCATCATTCATGATCAAGGAGAAAGAGGGAACCTATGAACATGACAATCCAGTCCAAAACCTGAGGCCAAAGGGCAGACCCAGATGGCTAGCTCCGCATCAGTGAGACAGATAACATGGCTTTCAGCCAGTACACACAGAAAGATCAAATGTTCCCCTTGTTCTACACTGCTCATTCTGAAATTTGTCTCCCTGCTTGGAGCCTCGTGGTGCAGTCGTGAAACTGAAGTATTGCAGTTAAGACTCTGCTCATGACATGAGTTCAATCCTGGCGGGCTCAGTTAGCAAGACTGAGATTGACTCAGCCTTCCATCCTTCCAGGGTTGTTAAATTGAGTGCCCAGCTCATGGGGTGGGGAGCAAGGTGTAGCCTAATTAAATTCAAATTAGAGAATGCTTCAAGTGCTATGGGGTGGTGTATAAGCACATGGTGGATAGAGATCTCAGCCCTGTTCTTTACCTACCGGCCCCAAATTATTAGCACAATGGGATATTTTTATTTACAAAACAGATGCATCCAACAGTGAAGTGGTACAGTCTGCTCTGCTAGTGCAGGACTGTACCGCTTCATTGGCAAGCAAATGTAGAATAGATCTGAAATGCAGTTGACTGTCCATCATTTTGTTCAACACAACCAGAAGCAAAGGATTAAGCTAACACCTTGAAACTTCATCCGCCATAGAGGAAGGTTGAGGTTGACCTGGCATTTAAGTCTCCTGTTCGTGATTATTGCTTCTTCGTTTGATCTGGTTTAGAATTTCTCATAGAAGTTGAGGTAGGCCAACAGTTTTGCATAAAAACCCAACAGAAATGACAAAGAACAAACCGAAATGACTGGTAGTGCTTTGACAAAACATGATAGAGAGAATACAACGCTAGAAGATAAATGGAAAGTTGTTTATTCCTCGAGGGCTCAATCAAATAAATACGTTTTAGTCAATGCTTGGGAAACGAGAGCATAGATAACTGGTTCCCAACCTTGGTTCCCCAGATGTTCTTGGATTATAACTCCCAGAAGCCTTCACCGCTATCTCTGCTGGCCAGGATTTCTGGGAGTTGGGAACCACTGCCATAGAGCACAACCCGGATCTCTAATTTATATTAGAGTGGAATGTGGAGATTATTTCAGGACACCCTTGAAGGAATCTCTCCCTCCTGCTCGCTTTTCCTCTCTGTGACGATGCCTTAGAGCAGTGGTCCCCCAACCTTGGGCCTCCAGATGTTCTTGGACTACAACTTTCAGATGCCTTCACCACCACCTCTGCTGGCCAGAATTTCTGGGAGTTGAAGTCCAAGAACATCTGGAGCCCTAAGGTTGGGGACCACTACCTTAGAGAGAAAGGGAGGGTAGAGCAATACACCTGTTCAGAAAATAAAATGCTCCTAGAAACATGGCTTGCTCTCTTGTAATCTATGGTTTGAGATCTAGAACGAAGCAGCAGTTTATGGATGTAGAACTGTGAGTCTGAGAACTGCGATATCTCTCCCCCTTCTCTCTCTCTCTCTCTCTCTCTCTCTCTCCCTCACACACACACACACACACACACACACAGACACACAAATGCTGCAAAGTACTTTGGTTCCTCCATGCCTTCCAACTCTCCCTCTCCTTTTCATCTGGGTGCCCAATGAGCTAGAAACCAGTTCTGCAAGGAGGAAGGCAGGGGAATGTTAAGGGCTGCTTATACTCGGTTCTTTTTATCTTGAGCTTCTAATGGGGAAGCATGGAGGAATGTCCTCAAGTTTAATAACTCTTGCCTGTTCTTCATGCTTTGCTCAGTCTGCAAGGTATTTCTTACCTTATTATCTTTAGCTCTCTCTTTCTCTACTTCCCCTCCTCCCTGTTTTTTTCCATGACATGTCTTCTCTTTTTCTGTTCTGAAATG